GATCTGACCTTTGAAGTGAGTTCGTTGCAAAAGTTATGAAAAGAGGGGTAAATGCATTGTCAGTTTACTCTCACGTTTCCCCTGTGAATGATGAATTAGGCACTGATGCCAATTTTGGGTACAGTTTCCTTTTATTTGTAAAACGAGGGTCATTTAATTGTTGTTTGGAGGTCAAATCCTTCAAAAAGCCTAGCATTGTATACTAAGTACTCTTTTTCTCAAATTAGGTTATTTTCTCCTATGTTCTGTGGCCCATCGCCGTCACCATGGGGGTCCCCGTAGCGGACGCCCTGAAGGTGGCCGAATTAATCGGCGTCAAGATATTCCTGAACGAATTCGCAAGCTACCAACGGCTCGGTATGTTGAGATTTGAGGTTGACAAACCGCTCAAAACCATATCAAAAATCTACAGAACTGTGTATGGTTTCGTGAGACATAAACCCAACCGATTCCTTCCTGCCTTACGTAGGCGTGATAATAAAGAACATGGAACTGCTGAATGAGCGAAACACGAGTGTGCCCATCAACTACCTTCCAAATGGGGATTGGAGCTTCACTCTCAACAATGGAACAGTTGTGGTTGCCACGTACGGCGCATTTTTTGTAAGTTAGCTGTTGTTTTGACAGCCCTGATAAGTAAGGTCATTGCAGCAAACAGTCGAAAGTGGCCTCCCACCGAGTGTGCTGACTACTTTACGCATTTTATGGTGCTCCATGTACGATCTCCTCCAATCTCTGCTAAAGGTGCAAAAATTAGGTCGGTTTTTTTTTAATCAAACATCAGTGACATTTGCAACAAGCAGATTATTGCCTCTTGTAATTTTGTGATGATGGTAAATGAGATGTAACAGCGATTAGGCCAATCTGTGGTGGTCGGACTTGGGCAGAAATGTGGTGCAATCGTTCACTTTCGATCTCCAAGACTTGGTTACCAGTGAAAGAAATAAAAAAGCCATCGGGAATGGATTTTTTTAGCTGAAGAAATGCGATAATTTGACGAAGTAGAGTAGGCTTAGCTCCAAAAGATGAATTTTGAACCCATCTAATGGGCGGAAACTCATGCATTGAGACAATTTTCTTCGCCTAATTAAAGCGCATTATCAAAGTTTCTTTCAAACTAGCAGCTATGACAAACCTGGGTAGGCTTCGGAGGGGAGGCTTTCTTCAACAATCTCTAACATCTGTTATAGACGGAAAAAGCCAAAGTACTCTGCACCTACGCTCTTTGCGGATTCGCCAACATCGGTTCCATCGGCATCCTCCTCGGCGCAATGGTGACCATTCTTCCCCAGCGGCGAGCCGACTTGACAAGTATGATTCTCACCGGAATGGTCGGCGGCAATATCGCCTGCTTCCTGACGGGCTGCTTCTCAGGTAGAGCCGAGTTAAAGAATGGAACTTTTAATGTCATTTTAAAAGCACTCTTGTCTCCATCGGCTTTGGATAGGCGTAGGTAAAAATGGTCCAAATCTAAAACTTCCACAAACTTAGTTGATCTCCTGCAATGTAGTACAGCCTCCCTTGACTCCCCTCAAAATTACATTTAGTCGAATTTTCTCCATCCTTGTTTACCCACTCAATGCTTCCTCTCTTCTTTTAGGCTTATTCTATAACGAAAGCATGTAAAGAAGCTTTGAAGTGGTCCGATCAGACGTGACATGCTGAATGACGAAATTTCGAGTAACGCATGTTCATAAAACCAACAATCACAAGCCTTTTTAATAAATGCATGTGTTTCTTAACAAAGCATCTCCTTTCTCTGGAAACATGAAGTGATATGAGGGTTTTGCATGATTTTTCGGACTTAATGGAGGAAGGAAGGCATGAGAAAACCCTTCGTATTTGGTGTTTTGCTGCATAAACGATCGAGTATTGAAGGAGAACTTGAAAAAAATATATGCGCATTAAGCACAAAATGAACTTTTAAGCCACAGACGTTCATTGAAGCGTATGCGGCTCCATTTGCAAGGAAAAGTGTTTTGTGTGGAAGTCAATTCCTTTTATTAATCGAGGAGTTTTTGTGATCCTGATTTGGTGACTCTTCACGACAGACTTCACACTGTCTCATTAGAATTATGTGAAAACGTGTTGAAGTAGACACTGAGAGACAATTTCGGTGGCCGCAGAGATCACTTCCAAACTGCGAATCTAACAATCGGCTTTTACAGAATAACTTAGCACTATGAAGAGGAAATATTGTTAGCTGGGTTTTTGCTCTCCATGATAAAGGGTGACTTAAGTGGAAAGGAAATACGAAGACTGCCGACGTCAATAGCAAGCCAAGGACAAAACCTGGAGCTGAGGAGTTTGTGTTAGGCATTATGAGACTGTTAAAATATA